CCGCATCCGTTACGTTCAAGCTACGCAAACACGGAACCCGGTATTTTACGCAGAATTGAGCGGAGAACACAATCAAATCTTCAAAAATCCTCAGATACAGGGAACTTAAACGTTAATCACTCGCCGGACCATCGTCTTTCTCCATTCGCCCCGGTCGATGAAGTTGATTGAAACCACTTCCCCAACGCGCCGCTAACTCAACTAGAATTTCGCGGTAAAGTGGTCGTATGCGCCGTTACAAGGAATCCACTTTAAAGGTCTCACATGAGGTCAGGTCGGTCACGTGACCTCACCATTATGTTATTGGTAAAAATGAAAACTGCTATTTTACGCTGGGAACGATCTCAAGCTATTCCAGGCACACGGAATCGTAATTTCATGTACTCCTTGCAAGGTCCGATGCTTCACTGGGTCATAAGTTTTTCGTCAATAACTTCCGATCAAATTGAGCTAGCGAGTCGGGGAGGCCGCCGATTGACTCAGGAAGACCTGCCGAATCGAATGATATATGATGTGACCTCCTTCGACCAGCTTCGTGATCTGGGGGCACTGACCTGACCTAGACCCGGGGTCAACACCTCAAGTTAACCTTACCAGAACAAAAAATATGCCATTCGACGTGCCTGAGGAAGGCGAACACGATGATGCTAAAATCATGGCTCTGCGACTGTTTTTTTTTTTGCGGAGGTATTTATGAAAAATTGAATCCGTGCGTTGGGTCAGTTGACCTGACCTCGGAGTTCACCGTCTCAGAGGTCACCGGTTGACCTGAGACCTCGAAATCGGGTACCAGTCGCTGCGTCTCGTAACGGCGCACACGTTCGAGCTGGTGTAGCAATGACGAGTATGTAGAGGAGAGTGGGGCACATTCGTGCAAAAAATGGATAAACCCATATATCTGTTCTTTGGTTAGTGCAATGGCAAAATTGTTGATTGTAGCATGGAAAGGAACTATTGCAGATAGTTTTCCTCTTTAAAAGTTATCCTTTAAAATTATTGCTTCCATTAGAAAAAATGACTTTTATTAACTCTGAACATTTGTACGAAACTGCCCCACCTATGGGGCACATTTGTTCAAGAGATGGGGCACTTCCGTTCACCCGGCAAAATTCGAGAAATTACCGGGCATTACCAGAAATTTACCAAAGGAAATTGGCAGGGGGTCATTTCACTTGATTCCTTTCGACAAGAATGCATTGCACAACAAATGTAGAAAGAATGGGCTGGCCAACAAGAATGTGCCAACTGCCGGCCTCCGTGAACTCGCCAAGTTCGCGTGAATTGCTCGTCACGACGTCGCAAGCAGTCGAGACTGAGTCAGGCGAGCGCCATTAGAGAAACCTACTACAGATAAAGTCATAAATCGCAAAAACTAAAAAAAATATGCACGAATGTGCCCCCAGGCAGTGCGTACACGAACCTGCCCCACAACGTTATTAGTTATATATTTCAAAATTTCTTTTTGAAAAAATGACACTTTTTCAACAAACAAGTTTGCAGCAGTTCCGTGAATAGAGTGGGCTTCTTCATCCCCAATTTTGAAAAGCTGAACCACATTTCCGAGTCAGGATCACGAAAATGGATGATATGAGAAAAGTTTGGAAAGCTCACGAATATTACAAATTTGCGTTTTTATCAAGCATGACAGCAGGTACAGTGTTGTCTTCTACGGTGAACGAAGGGCGGCAATGATAGAAATATTTCCATAATTTACCTTGAGCTCGTGCAGTCACTAGTGTTCCCATAAACTGCTGAAAACGAATGTGCCCCATGCACGAATGTGCCCCACTCTCCCCTAACTTCCGAAGACTGGGCCACTTGACGTAAAAACGGCCCCGCGGAGCGCCACTGTTTTTGGAGATAACTTAGATGATAAGTATTTGCGGGAAACTGCAAGGGAATCGCTCAAATACACATGCTTCCCGGCAGGGCGCGGGCTGTATATACCAGAGTATATAGAACAACGGTTGTACTTATTTGCTGTAGGCCTGTGAAACCATATCCCGGACCCCTTTATTCAGATCCATGCGCATTGTGTGTGTTTGATCCCCACTTACTGTGATATGTCGCTCATCTATCTACAGAGTAATTTCTGTTGAATACTGGGTAGTGGTCAGTGATGGAGTGGGAGTTGGATCTGCAGCCTATCGGCACAGTTCGAAGCTGTTTTTTGTGCAAAAATGGCACACCAAGGCAACCGACCATCGCTTCTAGCGCTCGAGGGCAGTTGAAGATCAGGAAAGGCATATACAACAATCCAGAACATGCACTGGAAGGACTTCGAGAATTCAGCTATGTGTGGTAAGTCTCTTAAAATGTTAAGTTTGATCGTGTTGGATATATCACTTTCAGATGCTATAGTTGAGGGGCATTCCGTCTCCTCTTCCAAACCGTCTCATTTTCTTGGGCTGCCTTAGACCGTTTTTAAGTTCTAACTACTTTTAAATGAAAGGTGTACGTGAATCCTCAATACTGTTAAATTAACAGGGCTGCGGAGTCGGAGTCGGAGTCGCCAAAATCCTACCGACAGTTAACGCTGCATGGCTCAGCGTCATGCACTGCACCTGTTTAATTGACGATACTGCGCTCGAAAGTAGATTTTGTCGAAAAAAGGTCATTTTGCTGTTTTGGACGAACGTTTACAGCGAAGGAAGCAGAAGACGGTGAATTCCCCAGAACCTGCTTTTTAATTATGCATGCTGTTTTTAATGCAAATTTGCAACGCAACCCCTTGGAAAGCACAAGAGATCGTTTCAGGCAAGATCAAAACATCTCCATTATGAACTTCAATATTATGATATGTATTTTAATAGAAATGTCCGGAGTCGGAGTCGGAGTTGGAGTCGGAGTCGGAGTCGATTTTTGAAGCCGGAGTCGGAGTCGGACTTCGGAGTCAGAGTCACCCTAAAATCCATCGACTCCGCAGCCCTGCTGTTAACACTGGCCGGCTGACAAACTTTGGACAAACTAATGTATTTCTCTTGATTTCACTATTTGACATTCTACTTATTTCCTTTGATCGTCTCGTGCCGCATTTATTCATGCTCTTGAAATGATCCACCGTACATGATTACTCTTCGGTGGCGCTGGGACGAACACACTCGAAAACACTCGTATGACGGGGCGCTCGACGCGTCTGGAAACCTTGATCAGCTGCAGCACACTCCTGATGTTCGTAAAAGGGTGGTGCTGCTCGTACATTTGTGAATACATACCATTTTTTTTTTTTTAGATAAAGCTTACGGGCTTAGTAAATTTCTCCCCTCCATAAAAGCGAACGTTCGTTAGAGTTTTATCTGTGAAAATTTTGCTTCGAAATAATAACATCATGGTCTTATTACATTCGCTGAGACGTTTAAACTTCAAATTATTTGGTGTTTAGAATAAATCCTAAGATGAGTTCAGGCTTAACAGTGTGCGATTATCATGTTTAAAATGCTTTTCTTTCAGGCTCATATTTCTTTTTCATAAGAACAAGTCCGGGAGGTTTTCGAAAGCCAAGGTATCGCCTCCCAGATTAAATGGTGGCAAACTTGGAGTGTTTGCAACAAGATCACCATACAGACTGAACCCCATAGGGCTCAGTCTTGTGAAACTCGAGTCTGTGGAAGGTAGGTGCTTTGCTTCTGGAAAAAATAGGTGCTACCTAGTATTAACCTAGATAGTATGTGTATTAAATTTTGCTTCATAGTACATTGGGAGGAAATTGAGCCAAAACCCAACTTTTTTAAATATTAAGTGTACAACAACTGATATTCTTTTTTTGTAACCTATAACGTAGCTTTCGAGCTTTTTTCTAAATAGAAAAACACCTACCATGTGTCGCGGTCACTCGATTGCTGTTCCTGTCCCGTTCTTATTGTCTAGAATAGAATGCCAATCACGTTTGCGCGCCTTACCACACATGTGCTATGCATCTCGATGAATTATGCGCGCCTGAGTGAGGACTGACCGACAGTAATGTTTCTCACTTCAGGCGACACGCTTCACTTCTCCGGTCACGACCTGGTGGACGGCACTCCAGTGCTCGACATCAAGCCGTACATCAGGGAGTACGACTGTCCGCCGGACGGGCCGGGAGGTGCCGCGTCCCCAGCCGAGCGTCCTCCGTCGGCCGGGGCCGCCGCGCCAGCAGCCGGTGACCGGTCGGCACCGCTGGCCGGTGTAGCGCCGCCCGATGAACGGGCACTCGAAGACGACACCTCTGGCCTCTCCAAAACTATGGATGGCCTGTTGTCACCGTCTGGCGATGGTGTTGCAGATGCGGATGCCGTAACTGAGGTCGGACCTGAGGACAGCCGGTGTGAGCCCCACGGCGTTCCCCAGTCAATGAAGAGCATGGCACAGTCGAGGAGCCCAAATCCAGCTCAAACCCACCCTCCTGACATCACGGCAGGCCAGAGTGTAGCCAGTCAATCACCGGCTGGTAGTCAGGCGTCTGCAGAGGACTGCCCCGCCGCCTCTGAGCCAGCCGACAGCCGCGGCAGCGACACCTGGCTGTCGCGCCTGCAGCCCGAGCGGTGGACGGTCAGCTTCACGGCCTGGGCCGAGTCCCAGCTGCGCCGCTTCTCGGCCTCCGAGTCGGCCGGCGCGCACCGGCTGCGGTGCCTGCGCAGCGCGGCCGAGCTGCGCGCCGCGCTGGTGGCCCTGCTGACGGCCGACCCGCGCTCCGTCTACCGGCGCACTCAGAGCGACCAGCTGCTCTACCACCTGGCGCTGGACGCCAGCCACGTCACCTGCTGGTTCGACGCCTCGCGCCGGGTGGTGGAGGTGCTGCGCCTGCAGCCGCTCTCCGACAGCCCGCTGGCCAGTGTGGCGGCCGCAGCGGCCAGCCGCGACGACCACTAGGTCGGGCGGGCGGGCGGCGGGGGCCACCGGGGATTGGTTATCCGTCCTGTCGGTGGATAGTTTGACGCATTCGCCATGTCATTGTGGTGTGTTTTCAATACACTGAATGAAGGGAAAGCATTCTTTTTTGTCACGGTTCATAAAATTACTGCTGCACAACAAAATGCATTTTTTATTTATTGCAAAACAATACACGGGGAAATACACGTTGCACTGCGAACAATGGGTGACAGGATTTAGTACAGACTAAACTCTCCGACGTAGAAATAGTGGATACGATAACAGTGTGCTCGATGTCAACCCACAGCACAAAATGACACGAGTGCACTGTTACACGAGCTGTTGTAAAGCACAGTACGCCACGGCTGAACACAAATCGGGTGCTCCAAACCACCCTCACGCGATACACTATACGCTAGATACGACAGACATCTCATCGGGGCGCGACTTTCTGCGTGACGCTTCATTGACAATGGCCTTCAAGAAGCCCACTGAAGTAAGCACGCTTTGACCTATGACTGCTTCTGTAAGAACGCTCAAAAATGGCAACGAAAGCTCTGTATGTGATATGCTTGCCAGTAAAAACGATGATTAAAACTGTTCTCTGGATCCGTGCCAGCTATGAAGACAAGCGTCTGAGATAGATGAAGTAGGCAGAAGTACCTTTTCTGGCAATCGTAAGTCTAGTTTAAAGTAACGCTTTAGAGACTCTGATTATAACTGGGCTGAACGTGACTGCCGACCAGACGGTATTTGATTAAGTTACGACTGTACGGGGACCCGCAGTTGCTACTGTACAGCGACCCTGAGTAAATTGTCCCAGCACCCTCACAGGAAACAACGATAAACTGTCAGAGGGCACTCACAGGAAACCTCAGCTGCTCTTGTACAGGGACCAGCAGTCGATATCAATGTTATCGGTTGTTACTGGACAGGACAGACGGCTAGAGTTGGGGTCGTGTACAGAAGCAACTGCGGGTCCCCGTACCTACATAAAGGTCAGCTGTTTTGTCGTGGCGGATCTACCAGTAAAGGATGGTCTCGTAATTCCATAAATGATCTCTTATGCATGCATGTTGAAGGAGCCGTTCCCTTTGGCTAATTTGCTAGCAAACATTGAGGACCTCGCGGCGTATCTACATACAGTTTCGCTTTAGCGGCTTTGTATCAACTGTTTGTGATGATCTCCACTCGCCAGTTTCCTCTGAGAAACACCACGAGTTGGGGCAGTGGCGCTGGCAGTTGGGAGCGATATGAGCTGGTAGGCTATCAATCTGGACACCAATCCACCGGTAGGTGGGTCACAGCGGCCTGCTGTCACGGCAGTTAGCAGAGCGGCACATAGTTACCGCCAGCCGTGCGTCTCGTGACTGACGCTCGAAATTATTCAAAAGAAGCGGGCCCGGGGTCCGAAGGTGTCTGTCGAACGTCAGGTGCGCTGGCCGCCGGCTCGGCCGCCCTCGTTATCGACAGACTCGCCGCCCGTTGTCCCGGACGTTTCTGTCAAAGTACGGGAAGCAGCGGGGATATGTCAAACGCTGCTGAGTGCTGAGCTGGATAAAGTCATCATACTGAAGACAAGACAGTGAGGTAAAAATCGTATAAAATGCTTACAGCTCACTAATAAAATTGAAAGCATATGGGAAAAGCTGCATTGTCCTTCGTATCATTTTTCTTTCACTTTTTTTCATTGTCTGCCTCTGCTGCTCCTGTGCTGACTGATAGTGCACTGGGTTATGATGCGCGATGGACTTAGCTTAAATGCTTACCGTGATTAGTCGTGTCGGGATGTAGCGAAGCCATGCTTGCCGATAAGTCGTAGAAACAGTGAACGCAAAACCGCATTTCCCTGAAATTAAGACGCATGTCAATGCAGAAACACACCGTGCAGAAACACGGCGTCCACCATTGGGAATGTATCGGTTGCCTCGCCATTCTTTGCGTTGGACAAAAGGGTTTCCGTACCGTACCTACAGGGTGTCCCATAAGTTCGTTCTCACCTAAATTTTACGCTTTTAGGCTCTCTTGCTTAACGGCACGCTGAAATTGGTTCGTTACTGGGCTTACGTGGTTGCCATGGCTGGTAGAAATATGCTCCACAGTAACTAATTTCTGTAGACAAAATAGTTTTTGCTAGAGAGCCCGTTTCCTAAACAGACGGCTAACGCCGCAACATAGAGGTCTCCAATACGGGTACGTCTCGGTATTTAGTCAGCACGTGACCATTCGCGACGATTGAAGGTGATTGAGGCCTACCAGTCTGTAGACGATGTCCATCGCTAACTGGACGCACAGTCAGCAAGTGACACCGATGATTTGTCGGGAGTCAATCATTGCAAGTTTATCCTCTTTTTTGTCAGCTCTCAGGAGTGAGCCATGTGGCCAAAACTGTGTGGCGCCAAAGTGGCCATCAAAAAGGTCAAAGGGTTAGAAAGTTGGTAAGCAGACTTTTCAGGATGGATTACCAGCTGTCTAAGAGTGTTCTTTCGGGGTACATAACTCAATGTGACTTAAGCTTTGCTTACCGGAGGGCTCAAAACAGTCAAAAACGTCTTAAAATGGCCAAACATGAGTTTCGTGATGCCTGAGGCTAAAAAAACTAAAGGGCTGAGGACATCAACCAGGTCATCTGGACTAACTAGTCCACGTTCGAGATGAAACACCCGTCCAAACCCGAAAACAACCCCATAAGGGCGAAGGAGGAGGCCTCCGTTTCGTCCCGTTATGTTCCTATGCGAAAGGCCAAGGTCACGGTATTGTGGGGTTATAGGCGTCCAGACGCTGACCAGGTTGCGATTGGTGTCCCATAAACAGCTTTGGGAAGCATAATGCTTTTCTAAGAACATCTGGGAGGAGTTTCAACCCTCAAGCTGAGCTCGAACCGCGAGTATGAACACATTTATAGAGGAGAAAATGGCATCCGAGAGGTCGTAGGCCCATCTTCAGGCAAGACAGTGCATCAGTGCACAGGTCAAGCAAAGCTTAAAAGCGGTGCAAGGAGACTGTGACAGGCGTTTGTGGCAAGACCACATGCCAGGCACCTCATCGGATCAAAATTTCATAAAAATTTGTTGGTTATGCTGAAAATTAGGCTCGTCAAAGCGTAGCGCTGTTCCAGCCTCGAGGAGCTCACGACGCATGTCAAGTCAGTCTGGATTAACTTTAAGCCTGCTATGCAGCCAAACATGCCGGTTGGCATGCCGCAGCATGTGTTCATGTGTTTGCCTATTAAATGGGGAGCACATTGAGGGGTCACAAATATATCAAGACGCAATGTACTCTGTTTCACATGCAAATATAATGTGAGAACGAACTTATGGGACACCCTGTATTGCTTATGACGTTAAGTGTGTGTAAATGTGAGAATAGTCATTTTAGTTTGCGTCCGCTGCGTTGACGCCGTTGAAAAAGTCCGCGCAGGGTTGCATCGTGAACTGCGAAGGAGAAGAGACGCGAAAAACAGCGAGGGGTCCGTCGGTCATTGCGGCACAGCATGACTTCAGGCGTTTTTAGTGCTGCCATCTATGGAGAGGGACGGGCGCCAGGCATTGCGGTACAGCCTAACCCTGCAGACTGGATGAGGCCGCTGCCGTTGCGCGTTACGGCTAGCTGCCGTTCATCGCCACCACTGAACACCGCCACACAGAAGCGTCTCATTATGCAGCCGCACTGGTCCAGACGAGGTACGCACCCGGTGGCGGGCAGGCGGACGGCCAGGCACGCGCACCGTCGGCAGAAGAGCTGGCCACAGGCGCGGCAGGTGACTCGCCGAGCCAGCAGCGGTCGCAGGGCGCTCTGCGGGCCGGGGCCGTGGAGGGGAGGCGTTAAGCTGGTTCCATGGTGTGCAGTACGACGGCCACGGAGAGAGCGTCTCTAAACGATATGCATGTTTGATCGACCCATTGGGCATGACATATGCATATTTTGATACATCACTGATTGATGTCGCTTCTGTCACCGGTAGAACAACTGACCTGGCACATGTAGCACTTGACGGACCGCTTGAAGATAGAGCCAGACTTCTGACGAATTGTGCGCGTTGCGGCAGGACGGTTGTGTAGTCGTTCACTTAGACGTCTGAAAAAGGGAGCAGGGAGCCTGATGAACTTCTGGTAGTCTTGAATTAACGTCAGCGTCGATGTCACTGGACAGCCGTTCGATCATGTATTATAGTATACTTAGATCTGGATATGATGGACTGTGAATGTACTTTACCTACACCAAACGACGGTCAAACGAAGCGTATTTTCACCGCGTTCAAGTCCAGTCGGATAATTATGCAGCAGTGCAGTACGGTCGTCGCTCTCGTCTCACCGTCTGAACTCGCCGTAGGTGACGCGCGGTGTGGAACACAGACAGCTATTCTGGGCGATGACAGCGGTAGAGGCCGCCGAGCCGCTCTGGCAAACTGCTGCTGCTTCCTGACCAGAGGCATTCGCCACTTCAGCGGCACCTCCGTACTCCGAGGGTGCACGCATCTGAAGAAGAACAATTTGCTGTTGCAATAATTTTTAACGCAACATCTTAATTGTATAATGTAATAGCCCATTTCATCTAACTTGGTATTTAGTACCGGCTGCTGGTTCATAATTCGAAAGTGAAGTTACATTTTATTAGCAGTCCCGTTATAAAGGATTGCGTTCCATTTGTGGGCATCTGTCAGACTGACCTGCTGTAGCGCATGCCTGGCCCGGCGGCAGTCGTCCTGGACGGAGCGCAGCTGTCCCCTGGCGTCTGCCAGCTGTTTGTGAAGCTGGGCCAGCGGCTGGTTCGGCGGTCGGTGGCCAGCACTGCCCGCCATAGGGGGACTGTCAGCGTCGCCCACCGCGGGTCCTGGGAGGCCCTCAGGCGACTGACGGTCTGTCGAGTCCCCAGCGGCCGGCTCAGGCTCGGTGGTCGAGTCCCCGGCGGCCGGCGCAGGCTCTGTCTCGGTGACAGGGCTCCCAGCGGGCGGCAGACGCGGCTCGGGCTCTGTCTCGGTGGTCGAGTCCCCAGCGGGCGGCAGACGCGGCCCAGATCCCGTGGTCGTCTGAGAGTCGAGTGTGACCGGTGACGTGACGATGCTCTCGGTGACCGTACTGATACAAGCGGTGATGGCGACTGGTTGAACTACGTCATCAGTCTGTGTGGCGACGTCATCTCGTCCCCGGCGGGGCTCTGTTGAGTCACAGCTCTGACTGGCAGTATCAGTTCGTAACTCGCGGAGAACTGTTTCTTCACACACGACTACCTGAGCTTCCCTATCGGAATGACTTTGGGATGTAATGTTGACCTGGAAAAGCACAACCTTGATTAGTTCGACGGCCCACATCAGATTCAGAGCATACGTTTCTCCGTAGAAGAAAGTTCCTTGTCTTGTTGATAAGGCATGCACCTGTGTCGTAAGTTGTACAGCTCATGGCTCACATAGCTAGGTAATGACTCAAGACAAGTTTTGCACATCCCTTTTTCCTTTTCCCAGTACTGACCTGAGAAGGACTCGGCTGAGTCTGAGGAGTGGCTTCATCCTCCTGTACCTGGGACCCAGCCTCCTGCTGACGTTCCGTCGGCCTCTCCGAATCGGCAGCCATCTCGGTAGCTTCGGGTTGATGAATTATGGAAGCGCTCTGTTCTAGTGGCGTGTGATGTGCAGGCAGAAGATCGGGCTGCAGAAGCATAAACGAGGCTCCGGGACCGGGTATCTCTGCCGTAGGGCTGCTGAGAAGTGTGGATGGGCCCTGCTGTGATGAGTTTTCCAGCAGTCCGTCCGCCCGGTGCAGGTCTACGGACCCAGCATCAGGCTGGTCGGTAGGCTGGAGCGCCGGGAAGTTGTCGAGCAGCTCTCCGGGCTCCCTCAGTTCTGTCGCGTCGGTGAGACTCCCACCCTCCTGCTGGGAACTGCTGCTGCTGGACGGCTGCCGGTCAGGCTCGGTAGGCGGGGGTGCGGTCACGGCGTATTTCTCAGCCAGCTGAAACGGAGCGCAACAGGACAGGGTTAACGGTGCAGAGCAAAGCGTAAAGAGTCGGAACAAGTAGATGCCAAAAGATTGTTTTAGCGTCACATGATTATTATCTAACTTTAAGTGTAGCACTTAAAGCTTTCCTTTAAAACCGAATGCAATCGGTAATCTGTCAGAGGTAATTGTCTAAATGGTCACCTGCAGTCTGAGCTGTCGCTCCAGCTGCTGGACCCGCCTCTCCAGATGCTCCTTCGCCGTGCTGTCCTCTCGGCCGCGGCGCCGCTGCTCCCGGCGCTCGGTGCGCATCCGCGCCAGCTTCTGTTCGATGCGCTCGTTTTGCGCCTGCAGGCGGGCGATGTGCTCGGTGAGCTGCTCGCGCTCCCTGCGGAGGTGCACCATCCGGCTGGGCAGCAGGCTGATCAGCTTGCAGCCGGCCGAGGTGCCGCTGAGCCGGTCCGCCTCGGCCGCCTCGTCCGTCTCCGAGTCTGACGAGGCCGGTTCGGCCGGCGGCGGCGCCGGGGCCGACCGGCCGGGCACGCTGCCGCGGCGCGTCCGGCTCAGAAACTGGCCGACCTTCTCCAGTAGGTCGGCGGTGGAGCGGGACACCTCGTCCTCACAGGCCGCCGCCCCGCCACCCTCCGGGTCGTGCGCCTCCTCCGGCTCGTCGGCATCCTCGTCCAGCGAGTTGTCGGGCCCCTCTGTATCAGACTCCTCCTCCGCGCCGGCCGCCGCCCTCCCTGCCGCGTCCGGCGGCGTCTCTCTCAGCGCCACCACGGCCGAGACGAGTGCCCGGTCACCGCCGGCCCGGTGCGCCGTCTCGGTAGCCAGCTGCGAGGCCGGCAGCGGCGACAGCGAGCGCGGACCGGCGTCCGTCTGCACCGCCACGCGCTGCGCCGCCACTGTCACCGGCGGCATGGCCTCGGCGGTGACGGCGGTGACGGCGGCCACGGCGGCCAGCGGCGGCGCGGCGGCCGGCCGGTCGGCGGGCAGCTGCTCGGCCTCGGTGGGAGTGGGCGGCGTGTCGGCCAGGCTGGCGTAGGCCGTGTCCTCGCTGCTGGCCACCGACGTCTCGGGCGTGGTCTCGGCCTCGCTGGCGCCGTGCTGGGCGTGCAGCTCGGCCAGCCGCGAGCTGAGCGCCACCTGGCGGGCCGTGGTCGACACCAGCCGCGTGTAGAGCTGCTGGCACTGGTCCTCGAGGCTGACCAACCGGCGCCGCCGCTCCGAGCTGGTCTCGACCGGCCCAGCCGCGCCCGCCGCCGAGTCCACCGAGTCGGTCGGCTGTGGCTCGGGCGTCCTGCGGCCGGCCGACTCGGACTCGGTCGACTCGGACTCGGCCACGGAGGTGTCCAGGCCGGCTGCCTCCTGCTCGGCCAAAGACTCTGTAGACTCCCCGTCCTGCTGACTGTCGTCTGTGGAACTCCGCTCCAGCATGGGCCCGGCTCCGGGCCGGCACTCTCCGTCCTCCCCAGCGGCCGCCGGCTCGGTCCCCGTCTCCGCACTGTCCATCCGGGCCTGCCTCACCAGCCTCTCCCTCTTCCTTTGGTCCAGCTCCCTGCGCAGCGCACGCCACTCCAGCTCCGACTCGGCGTTCAGCTGGCTGGCGAGCACAGACCGCTGCCGAGAGCCCTCCAGCTCGCCCCGCAGCCGGCTCATGAGTTTGCGCTTCTCGCGCAGCTCGTAGCGCAGCACTGACTCGGCCGTGTGCAGCTGAGCGTGCTGGATTTTCAGCTTGGTGACCAGCCCCCAGGTGCTGTGCAGTTCGGCGGCGACGTTCGACAGGCGGCGCTCCTGTTTGGTGAGCCGGCGCTCCAGCTGCTGGTTGAAGCCGCGCAGCTTGTCGATCTCGCTGAGCAGCGAGCGCTTCTCCAGGATGAGGTCTCGCAGCCGCAGGTAGGTGCGACTGACGTGGATCACCATTCGTCGGCCGTGCGCCGTGTCCACCCTCTCCACCAGGTCAGCTCCGCCGCCACCGCCGTTGCCGTCCTCCTCCGCTCCGTCCGTCTCGTCAGCGTCGTCCCGGGGCGGGCTCTGCGCGCCCTCGGCAGCGCTCTCGGCCTCCTTGCGTTGCAGCTGTTCGAACAGCGCGTTCACCAGCTGCAGGTGTCGCTGCAGCCGCTCGTTCTCGGCAGCTGAGCGCGCCAGCTGGTTGTGCAGCTGCGCCAGCAGCTCGGTTTGGTGATGTACCAGCCGCGCCTGCTCCTCCCTCTCCTCCGCCATCTGCGCCAGCTGCTCCGACAGAGTGTCTGCTGCTGTCTGAGTCTCCACAGAGACCAGCGGCGGAACCGGCGGCCCGGCTGTGTCCTCCGTCTGCACCCCGGCGGTGGCTGCCAGCGCGGCGTCTTGGGAGCTCCCCGGGGCCTCTGCCGACTCACCGTCACGTGTCGGGCGCCCCTCGGTCGTCATCAGACCGGCTGACACTGTCGGACCCTCTGCCGTCACCGAGTAACAGCCGTGGCCGCCCGGCGTCTGCGCCGTTGGACCGGACCGCGGCGGCGCAGTATCGGCCGACACTCCGCCGCTGTCTGTGCCTTTGTCGTCGTCGTCGGCGGCGGCGGCGACGGCCTTGGCGGAGGTCAAGTCGGCCATCCGCAAGGTCAGACACCGGGCGATCACACGGGTGACCGCGGCGCTGATGAAATCGTGGGCCGGCACCAGCTGGTGACACAGCTCGGGCAGCTCGTCGGGCGCCGCCCACGGAGTGGAATGTTTCTGGAACGGAGACACGGACGGCGTCAGGACAGCCTCGCGATGGTGTGGTCAGAACTAAGCCAATGAGTCATGTGAGCTCTGAGACCTTTAGAGATGGAACGTGGACTCGGGGACCTCCAGGAAACGGCACGTGCCGTCTGTTGACCGTTCGGGTGTGGTACAGAATGTGGCTAGTAGAGGGCCTACCAAAACAACGACTTCCTAAATACGCCTCACTAAAGCAACAGACACAAACATACTGGTTAATTTGAAGGTGTCATCGCGTTCACTACTATATATTTTCAAATTAGTCATTTATATTAAAGCTTTGTTCGCGTTGTTCTAAGATGCATTCACAAGCTATTTCTGGACGGTCTGGCGGGCAAAGCTTCCGTTGTGACTCATTCATGCACTGGTCCAGTACGAGGAAGACCGTGACCAATGGGTTATTTTTACTTCCTGTCACCTGGAATAGGTCGCTCTCTATTGTAACAGGAAAAACCAAAAGGAATCATGGCATTTGTTCTACGTTCAGCTTCCGAATCTGTTAACTCTGTACCTATGGCATAAGTAAATTTAGTTTAACCATGCTTTATCGTCTCATGAACATGAGTCTGGTCTTCATCATGGCATGACCTTTTGGTTAATGACCCTTTACATTTTATTCAGATTGGTCATCATGTATCGCCTCTGGGCGCTGTTTATCGCCCCTGGTCATGGTTTAGACCGCGGTCCGTATGTCGCCGCGCCGACTGGCCGCGTCGGCCGCGGACCGGCACCGCTGCGCCGGCCAAATACCTGACCAGCGGCCTGCGGCGGGCGACTGCCAGCTCGGCGCGGGCCGGGCTGCTCAGCTGCCACCCGGCACAACGCAGCCGAGGCGGCGTCCTCTGTCACTCCTCCCTCTCCACCGCTCAGCAGCCATGGCCAATGCCCGAGGGACTTAGTTACATAAATGGTCCCGAAGAAAGGTGGGCTGTTTAGAAATTAGCATGGTTTCAGCGCAACGTTTATGTTGCAATGTTTCAGGCTGTTGCTTTTCCAGTAAATTATGCCAACTTTCAACGCGGGCATTACAAATATTTATTTTAAAAAAAAAAAACGAAGCAATTATTCCTGGATACGATGGATCACTTTAACATGGAATTGATACCTATTATCAATGTTGTACCTGTCTGTCTATTAGCTTTCCGCAGTTACCGTTCTATAATTTGAAGATGTTAATGTAAAATATAATAAGTTTTCGTAAAAAATGTCTACGAGATAATTTGAAGCCAGCTTTTAGCATGTGTGACTAAGAAAGCTGACCCACAGCCAAACAGCCATTGCGATAAATAACACCTGCCTCCCCCGTAGCTTGCACACTGCACGTCAAAATAAAAAATAAGTAGACGTCAAATTCTATAGAACCCTGTTCAACTTCCTACGTAGCGGACTCGTGCACTCTGTGCACTCTGTAGCGGACTCTGTAAATGTGTGTTCACACATTTACAGAAGCTTGCTGCGAGCTCCAATGTAAAATTATTAGGTACCCGTGCCACTTTCGAGGTAGCTAGGTTCAACTTTTATGCTGTATGCATGCAGTATGCACCAGTGTGCGACCATTTTCACTCGTCATTTTTTAGCGTGGATCGGTCGCCAACAAAGTTTGGCAGGGTCGAAGGTCCGCTCTCGGTAGTCGGGTACATTCCGTCTCTGTCAGTGTCACTGCCGACCCGACCCTTGGTGCGATACAGACCGAACGAAACCACAGGCCGGTACAGACCGAACGGAACCACAGGCTGGGGAGGCGAACGGAGCCAGGGGCTGGGACAGAGCGAACGGAGCCAGAGGCTGGTATAGATCGAACGGAGCCAGGGACTGGGACAGAGCGAACGGAGCCAGGGGCTGGGACAGACCGAACGGAGCCAGCAGCAGAGGCTGGGGAAGACGAACGAAGCCACGGTTCAGTGCAAACTGAACAGAGACAGGGTCCGTGACAGACCGACGAATGAGGTCAGGTCAGAGACTGCAGGACACACCGAACAGAGTCACGCTGTGGCCCGTGGAAGACCGAACGGGACGGGGCCGGAACAGACCGAACAGAGGCAGGTGCCGGGACAGACAAAAGAAAAACAAACGTCAGGACAGACCAAATGGAGCCAATCGCCAGACCTGTGGGTCGGGACCGAACCGACCGACCAGAGCCAGGAGCCGGGACAGACTGATCGGAGCTGGACCTGGGCCGCCAGAACAATTCGCAAAGAGCGATTTACAGATAATAAAGGTGCTCACTGCTCAGCGAATTCAGATTCTTAGAAACTGTAGCTTCCTTGCTACCTATGTGTGCACGTTTATTCATTTTGGTAATATCGGCAGTTCTTCAGCTTCGCTTTTATTCCATTTAAGTCAACCCTCTAAACCATGACCTTTGACATCAAGAGTGGAATAGATGCAAAACATTAATAAAGTTATAAATAAACAGCAAGATGAGATCAAAAGGCCTCGGATAGCATCATCAAGCATAACCAGCTGGACTTAACGACTAGCGCCGCCGGGAGTTGGCAGAGTGGACCAGTCATTTCCAGACGGCCAATGTCCGTCCTTCACCCCTCCCCCCTCTCCCCACGTCCTGACCCTGAGCGGCCCTGCAGACAGCCTGCTGCCCTGCTCACGGGCCGTCGCCCTCCAGCCAACTCAAACAGACCTCTGGGCGGCGGCTGGCCGCGTGCGCCGTGCGTGGCGTCGGCTCTAGTACCCGGGAATGACGCTCAGAATCGGCACCGGCGGATTTTACGTAGTGAGACAGCCCCGCAGAGGCAGCGGGGCGCTCCAAAAAGCCAGTTTGGCAGCTGGGGACCGCACGTGAGGGCGTTGCGCAGCGGCCGCCGTCGACAAAGAGAGCCGCGGGATCGCACGGATTGAACGGAGCCGGTCGAAGGGACAAAGACGCGATGATCGGCGAAACTGAGAGACGGGACGAAGGACAGCGGATTGGTGGCGACTGGTGACGCAGTGCGACCAGACGGGTCTGTTTGCTGGGACGCACTTCGCACTGCTTCCGTGCATTTACTACATTGCCTGTCGCCATGTCTAATGTCCATAAAGTTAGCGTCGTATTCGTATTCGGATTCAAATTCGAGCAATGATTTCGCTCAAAACAGGTATATCTACAGATAGCCCCTATATGTATTTTTATGCGTAGGTAAAATCATAATGGAACAGACAAGGATATCTGACCTAGCCTACATCTACATTGTATTAATTAGTCTTCTTTCTGAGTCTGAGGTCTCCTTCTTGTGCTGGCTAAGAAAGTTTCCAAAGAAACGTCGCCTGAAAACGGTCACGAGGCCGACATCGAAGCGACCTACCTCGGATCGGTTCGTTTCAGGTATCCACTCCTAGATGTCAGAACAAGTGCACCCCGGAAGGTATGCTGTGCCGCACGGCCTCCAAGTATTGCGGTCAGGCACACCCGGGATGGAAGGAAAACACCGGGCGTTCCATCACCATTGAGGTTGATGCCAATGTTTAACTTTCAAATAGGTATAATGCGAGTGTTCTGCGAGTGTGATACCCTATCGCTCGTTTGTTCAATGAAATTCGATGAAGTTTAAGGGTCTATTTAGCTGGAGTAGTGCTAATTAGGTGCAAAGCCGCTCATTGTTGCCTTCGCTTTAACAGTCCACCTAACCATGCATAAGCAATAAACTTTAGCAGCTTAAACGACCATCACTGTGCTGTGAGATGGCGGCCAATAAAATTTTATCCACACTTCAACCAAGCTGGAACAACATGGTTGAAGCCAGTTGAAGCACCCAAGAGCTCTCGATAATGGTCTTTACCTACCTATGTACATGTTTTTATTCACCATTATGAAAATTGAAAACAAAATATTTTAACAAATGATTATTTCATTTCAGTGCATAATGCGGTATTATGCTGTTGTGCTATATATAAGTTCGACCCTCACTGTAAACATCTTTCTGAAATCTGAACACAGCACAAGAATGAGAAAACTAGTTAGCGCACAGCGTATTAGAGATATCAATAATATTTTCCAAATAAGTTTTGAACACCGATGATGTACCGTTATGTAAAACGCCGAGCGATGTATAAATTAGTTCAATTATAACTCCTGTTAAGTCGTAGGTATATACTTGTGGAGTTGTAAATATAGGTAAATACGAGCTGAGAGTCTGGAAAATAGGAGACAGGTAAAAATAATATTGATAAACGTTGATCGTCTGTGAAATCAATGTGCGCCGAACAGTTTTCTCAGTAATTTGGCAAGCAGATTTGTTCAAAGAGACGTTTACATTGAGGGTCGAACTTAGAAAAAACGATCTATAGGTTAGAGTAAAATGTTTCATCGCACACGGTTTATGCACATTTACGTATTTCTAGTCGTGTTAGTGAAAGTAGCTTTTATTGGTTTGTGAGTACTCAGCGAAGGTCCGTATTGTGTAAAAGCAAACGCTAGACACTGTATCAGAGAAGATACCTATGTGTATATTTAAGTCCACTGTTAGTTCGCACTTAGCGCGGGCACTCTGTGTTATGGTTGGCTTTGAGAAGGAGGCGGCGGTGGTCTGCTACCTGGTAAACCCAGTTCTGTGAAGCGCTCACCTGTTGCAGTTTATCTTCCTGAGTGTTGATGACGTCATCCCTGATTCTCAGTTGTTTGTGGGTTTCATCCGCCAGCACTTGTAAATAGGCCTGCTCTGTCTTGGCAGTCCAGAGCAGTTCCCTGCTTACACGGTACAGGAAACCGGACCAACGTCACGGCACCGTCAGTTCGTTCAAGTTTCAACAATGGCAAAACGGTAAATTTACGTTTAATTCGGTGTGCCGACTGTTGCTCATGTGTCGCTTTATAGTTTCTCATTATCTCATTTAGATTGTATTTCTCATTACGCTCTAAATAGTTTATTTACGTCATATGCGTGTATTGCATACTCACACGCATCGCTGAGAATCTTCCATCGATGAGGAAATTGTTTCTTTCTTCGGAGCCGTTTTAATGTTCAATTGCAGGCATACGGTGAAATTGTATCACCTAAATTCCTTCCTGTAATGTTAAGATCAAAATAAATACATAGGGTAGAGTGGGGCAAAGCGCCCAGGGCGGGTCAAACGCCCACCCCTCTTTTTTATGAAGTGCTCGACTTTTCGAAGAATTCTCGATAGCCATTTTCAAGAACAAGCAGGAATCTACTTTTGCCCCCTTTTTCGGTTCTACAAGTGGGTTGTTCTGGACGTAAGATAAAGATTAGTTTATTTCAGACAATTTTTAGAAATTACATGTTTTCATACTACTAAAACTTTGTCTGATAGAGATTAAAGTAGGCAATGAAATTTAGCCATGCAGAACCTGCGGATTTAAGCTATGTTTTGAGCACTTACCTACTGGTTTGCAACACAATCGTCACACGCTTAATTTTGGTGGATTTTTTTAATTTAATTTTTATTAATTTAATTTAATTTAATTTTAATTAATTAATTTAATTTAATAATTAATTAATTTAATTAATTTAATTAATTTAATTTAATTTTTATTACTTAATTTTTTTTGGCTGAAAGTGAGTGTCGGGATACGTTTCTAATGCTCAGGATTCTTATGAAATATGCAATATACTGGTTAGTATCGCCTGGAACAATTTATTCGCACGAACTTATCTCCGCTCTCCAAGGCGGTGACAGCCCGCTGACTGAATGAGGAGTGGGGTGGTAACAACAGTGTTCAAGATGTGTTTAGTGGTGTAATCTATCGATTTAAAGTCAAACGAAATGAGAATGGATAAATACTGCATTCTTTTGTCAGAGTACCGAGCATGTAATGAAACGTTCAGGACTGGGCGTTATGCCCCACTCATATGGGCGTTATGCCCCATGGGTGGGGCAAAACGCCCGATTTGTAGTCCTCTCAATTCGGATGGCATATCTCAAAAACCATGCATGCCACTTGTTTCTGATGTGTTATTCGAAGAAAGCCAAGGTAGTGAGCTACCAGATCAGCTACCTAGTTGTCTTTCAAATTTGTAAGATAAAGAGATACTGGGGCTGGAAAGTTAGGGTGGGCGCTTTGCCCCACCCTACCCTATAACGGATGGTAGGCATGACCATTTGTAAACAAAACAAAAAATTGGACTCCGGAAGGACGTGCTTATGTTGCTTGAACTATAGGCAATATTTCAATTTCTACTCAAAGGCTTTCTCTGGAAGGTGAGCAAGTGGACAGTGGTGCTCCATTCCTAATGAACATGTCACGAGATCCTTTATTCCTATAGGATAGGCACCACAATGAAGGGCCGAACAAGCTCTAAGTAAGATTTTCATTTGAAGCAGATACTGACGGTAGCGTAGCGTGAAAACACTGACCACACAAAGAGCGAACAGTAGCTGGTAGGCACGCCGGTGTTTTCCACATTGCTTTGCTTTGTCAGCATACCTCTGGTCCAGCATGTGCCATCCGTTTTCGCAATCTATCCGGGGCCCGGTCGGGTACTACCTAACTGCTCACCGCTCAGCTGTCGTGGTGTGTCCAGCGCCCGGTCCGGTACTCACCCCTCAGCTGCGCGGTGTCCGGCGGCGTCCTCCGTGCCGCGGTGTGCCGGCGCTTGGAGCGCCGCTCTCAGGTCCGGCTCTCACGGCTCATGTGCGCCGGTCAGAGCGGAGCCGGCAGCGCGTGGCCGCTATTTCGGGGGTGCTCGGAACGGCGAGCGCAGGCGCGGCGCTCCGCCAGCTGCACCGGTAGGTACACACATACACAGGGCCGGGGAGCGGCCCGTTGGGGAGGGATGGATCATAGGGAGCCGTGGGTGGTGCACTTCGCTGAGGTAACGAGCCGGCTGATGAGGCCAGTGAGGTGAGGTGTTGACTCGGTGGCTAATCGGAGTATTTTTGGCCGCAAAATGACGTGATCAGGGCTTCGGTGACGTAGATAGTGACTAACTTAGTCGAAGGTTTAAACACTGTCGGTGCTAGCTGCGTTGATCGTATCCTTCATCTCACACCTCTCCACCGTGTCCTATCCGCCGCCGTCTTTGACTGTACGTGCAGTGCGCACTGCACGCGCGGCGCTCCCCCTCCCGAGCAGCGCTGCAGCGCTCAGCTCAGAAGTCCCGCGGTCGAGAGGAGGCCCATGAGGCGCATCCATACTCGCCTTGGCGTGCCCGCATACGCCGGCGCCGGAGCAGATACACAACCACAGGCCACAGCACAGAGAACGTGGGAAGTTTTGTGGAAGTTTTGGGGCTCGGGAGGTTACAGCCTTGTAAGTTTCATCACCCTGTATTCTGTAAAAGATTCCCTTGCGCTGAGGTGCTGCGATGTTGCAACATTATGGGCTCGTGTAGAGGCTCACTTAGGACGTCATACCTGACCTGACCTGACCTGAAAATGCGACTGGTATCACAAGTTTCAGCTGGAATCAGAAGTAAGGTGTATCAGCTTTTAGCTCTACAATGATAACCAACGTGTTCCGAGCAATGTTGAAAAATACACTTGGGGGTGCACCTGCCTCCCCTCGGCCGGCGAGGGTTACCTACTGAATGAATATTTAGAATTTGATAAAAGGAAATTGTATCGCTTGCCCACCTTTTACCTACCACGGTTCCCGTATTCTGAATACCACTCCTAAGCCGAGGAAACTACACAAATGTAGAGCAGGTAATTTTATATTCACCAAGAAATCTACTACCCGTACATGTAGGTATGTACCTACCTACCGGTTGATAATAACCGATAGGGGTAAAAGCTGAGGGTAACTGCGCCCTCTTACCCCTACCCCGTGATTGTGAATACGGAAAATGCACAACTATAGGTAACACGTCAGGCGTGGCTAAGCAGGTGAAGCATCAAACCCTCGGTACAGTACCTAAATGTGAGAGCCAGGGCCCTGAGTCCCAGTCGCTCCGGCAGCGGCACCCGTGACCCGATGCATGAGACTCCTGACGGGGATGGCTTCGTGATTAGTGGGAGCAACCGCGGCTAGTTGAAGTCAATTGAGTGGGACGAAGACCGTGTTCGGCTATGATGAGCTTCGGAATAACAAATTTTGGAATCACAATTTATATTGTAGGTACCATTTCAACATTCAGCCCGTAGTTTCCCGATCAGAAAGTAGTAGTCGGGGTGTGCATAACAAATATTGTCTATTACGCACTCCGCCTCCAGTTTTATATCCATCCATTAATAAAATCGATTATCGATTGTTAAAAGGTACAAAACTACCTGTAGGTATATGTCAGGACTAAAAAAAATACATAGAAAAGCTTCTTTGTAATATTCTGCATGTTATTTCACTTAGAGTGCTCATACTAAAGAATACATATTTAAGCAAAATCAATTGAAAATGATTGAAAAATAATGCAGAGACTTTAATAATTTGCAGAGATATACAGACAGTCTGTATACCTATGATAATTTGTGTGCTGTCTATACATTCTAAGCCACTGATTTATTTTAGTGACGGCGTTCAGAATATCAGCGCTTTGCACCACATTCAGCTGTCGTCAAATATGGCGTGTATTGGAAGATGAGATAAAAGTGGGCGGGAGAGTTTAACGGAAAAAGTTTATGTTTTAGACGCTATTTACATATCAGGCTATCATTTTTACCTTTTAAGCGTTCTCTGATTATGTTGTATCTGCTGCAGTAATTTTCATTTGGTGTTTGTACCCTTTTCTGAGGGCTTTAGATTGCGCCGTGACTGTAAACTCCCAGAATGATGTGATATGACAAGTTCCACATTTCAGACCTATTTTGATGGTGTTTTAATTATTATATTACATAAAACTTTTTTTTCTAATTGATATCCTTCTATGGTCTGTTCCATATCAAGCTCTTGCTATTGAAGTTCCTTCGGCAGCTCGCTCCTCTGTTCAATATTTTGTGCCTTTGAACGTCAGGGCTGTACATAGGTACAGAAATCACGCACTGCTTTCAGCGGGGCACTTAAGCTGCAAGTTGATATTGAAGAGAGTATAGACCGAAATGTGAAGCCATTGTTAACCTGAAAGAAATAGTACCTACCATGCACCTTAAACTTCAATGTGGTTGGTATGCAAGTGTAAAGTGTTAATTGCAACAAGTTAGGTATGGTAGAGTGCTTGCATGACTCTTATTGTTCTTAAATGGTTTTGTACACTTTAGGACTCAAACTTTCAAATTCCCTCAAAATATTAATAGAAATCTCACAAACATAGCTCCCTGCCAGCAGTGTTTCATTTTTCAGCCTTTTTGGTGGCAAATCACACCTAATTGGGGAAAATATTTTCATCTCTAAAATATGAATGACCAACTTTACTTCATCTCTGAAAAGAGTTTCATGTATTCCCAACAGCCAGTTCACTTATCACTTGACAGTTGATGCACCCACATCCTTTTGTTCCACACCCTGTCAAGATCCTGACATGAAATCCTGGTTTATCAGTTAGCATAAAACTTGGCATTACACCATTTTGCAAAAATACTGCAGTTATTTACTTTCTTTTTTCATCCTAAGATTTTTTTCTTCATCGGCACACCCAACCAATATCCAATTTTAGAACACTGCCTGCCAGAAAAAGATACTTGAAAATTAAATAAGGAAAACATTGCATCTGAACTAGAATAACCTCATGCTGGATTAGTTTCTCTCAAGGTCTGAGTCTGTCCAGCTACCAGCTGCATATTATATCATTATTACACCTATGATAATGATGCACATCATGCATCATGCCAAAAGATGCATCATGCCTTGCACATCATGCAAACAGAAGATCATGAGAAATTATTAAGTCTTGCTTCCTATCCAATATATTGACTACTTGTCATTCATCAGTTAAAGTCTTCGATGTATGCAGGAAACCTGGAGTTTCAGCATGTTTTAATGTATAAATTAAAAAGACGCTTACAGTAACCCAAAAAAATTTTATTTGGGTGGAAAACAAAGTCCAAATAAACCACTATTTACTCTGTCCTCCAATTTTAAGTGCAATTTTTTCACTCCAAATTGTATGGGAAACACTGAACAGCATTTGTGTGGTTGGCAGTTTACATCCTACAATCTTCCATTCTGTAGATATTTCATTTTATGCTGTTGATCCTTTTTCCTCTCTATTAGGCCCTAGCTGACTGACAATTTTCGACTCTTCTTCCTCTTCTTTCGTGAGGAATTTCTCCTCTGACACCCAAGCCAAATTTTTTTTTTTGCATTTGGGAATCTGCCTAGAGCCTACCTAGCTGAGGTGGGGATGAAAATCTTCAGCATGTTTAAAGCTAACCTAAATGTATTATAACACCAAAAGAGTGGCTTATCAGGCTTATGCTGTGTTACAGTAAATTAGTGATTTTATATCATGATTAGCACTTAGGTATGTCTTAAACTTTTAAGATGTAGTAGGTATTGAGAACATATTCAAATATTTTATTCTTCATCTATTACTACTGTCATTTAAGCCACAATCAGCATGATCAACTGCTTGTCTTATCACCTTGTTCAGGGAAGTACACAGAAACATATTGCAGCCTGACACTTAGTAGCTAATGCAGCTGGTAAGTTTATAAAAGGTGCATCAAACTGTTCAGTGCTGACTGCAGCTGGGTTCAGTTCTGTAGGTATTACACTTTGTGCATTTCATTGAAATGAAATACCAGACATACTAGTACAGACAAGTGACGCCAGCCTTGCAGATTGAACGGGAAACAATTTCCAGTACCTAATTAGATAAAATAAAATGATTACTTGTTGTGGTGTGTATGCCTTTGTAATTGTCCCTCACTGATTGGGTTGATGAGTCAGATGATAGTGCAATAGTCATGTTTTTGGTAGCCCACCAAATCATCATCCCACTGCACGTGAGACTCTGTAATCCTTATTGAACATTGTATGCAGGCCACAGAATGATACAGAAGGAAGGGCTATCAGTATCGTCCTAGATAAAGTACAGGGGGTGTAACAAAGCCGATGTAAGAATTGAATAGTTGACATTGAAGAGTTAGTTGAAAGATAACACTCCCTTTCTTTTCCCTAGCAAATGTTACACACAAGGCCATAACTAACAGTGTGTCATCAAAAAGGCCCAGCCATGGCCTCAATAGATTGGGCGGCGGAGATGGAGGAGTTTGGTGAGTTGTTGTTGGCTGATGACTGTGGATGTCATATATTAGATTAATAAGCTGATAAATGCTGAAATATTGTTTCTGCTCATTGAGGATTCTCATTCAGCCCACATGTATCATGATTTGATCTCTGATTAAAAGATGACGTTGTAACGGTAAGTTGTCGCCACTGGCGGTATGCGGTTTGGCGCCGTGTGCTCCCGGTGTGACGCGCCGTGTCGCCGCAGACGCCCACGGGGAGGAGCCCGTGCCACCCGAGCTGGACATCACCGACATCCCCCTGGTGGAGCCGTTCGCCGTGCTCGTCTCCAACGTGCCGCCGGCCGCCGAGCCCGCCGCCCTGGCGCACGCCTTCCGCGGACTCGAGGTGCGCTCTCCCCCAGCTCTGACCTAGCGTAGCCTTTTTACATCTGTAAGAGATCGTCATAAAATATTGAGGCGTTTCGTTCGTTCAAGGTTATTACCGTTTTCAATGAACCACGCCCTCGGGCGGCAGAGTTTAGATGCCCGGTTGCTCTGACCGCCCTGTGCGCTGTCCGTGTGCGGTAGATCAAGGAGCTGGAGCTGGAGAGGGGGCCGGACGGTCGGGCGGCCGGCCGCGGCTATGTCGAGTTCACCACCCGCGAGATCCTCATCGAGGCTCTGCAGATCAAGGACCTGGTGCGGATGGGCGGCACCAATTCTGAACTGACATGATCATCATTGTATCCACTTCACTGTAGTTTGAAACATTTCTTATCACTTAATGGTCCAGCCATGTAACTGTTTGTCCGTTTTACGATAAACAGAACTTTCTGTGTTCATTAGTATTTGTGAAATGGAATAACACTGTAGTGTAATATGTTCGCGCTGACTAACCTGATGTGGTGTTGTCGTTGGTCAGGAGCTGGACGGTACGAAGCTGCAGATGGAGCTGAAGCGGGCGCCGCCACCGGAGCCCGAGCGGCCGCCCTCGGCAGGTCAGTCAGTGGGGACCGGCCTGACCGGAGCCGACCCGAGCCGACCCGACCCGACCCGAGTTGTTTGGACCTGACCTGACCAGACCCGACCCGGCCCGGCCTGACCCTGCCGGACCAGACCTAACCCGGGAATCGCTGGCACTGATGACACGCGTGGTCCACACCAGCAGCTGTTCAGTGCCCACGCCACGGACGGCCGTAGGCTGATGCTGCTGGTGCTCTGTTGGTATCAAAATTCATACGCATGTATTATTTGTGTTCGATTCAGTGCCCCACCTTCTCGCCAATCATTCCCCTCGTGAATATCTGATCTTACTGCTTGACCTAGTACCAGGGTACCTAGAGTGGCTTATTAGATGGAATAGTCTCGGCTGCAGTATGAGGGCCACTCTTGATCTTGGGAAGTCGGCGCGGTGCTGCCCGGCACCGGTGCGCTGCCGGCCCCCCGCTGTTTGGATCGCCAGATAACCCGGCCACCGCGATCAATAACCAGCTGCCCGATTTCGAGGCGCTGCAACGCCGATTGCACGGAATTCTCCGCTATGTCACTGCGGTCCTGAAGTGCTGCGGTTGGGATATGTCGCTCATGAGTCTTGCCGAACTGGCAGGAACTTTTTAAACGAAAGGATTGGAACGATACTAGCCCACATATGAAATACCGATAGATGGTTCGTCTCTTTATCAATAACTCCAGTAGCGGGTGCATGCAAGGAGGCTTGATGATAGTGACTCAATGTATGAAGCTCTTGTGCCCCATTGCACGCCTGTCAATGGTCTTTAGACTGATCTGTAACGTCAAGGCTCCCCTGCTGGGCTGCGGCAGTGTTATCAGTGCATTTTCCTCCGTGTCGTGGCTCGGAAACGGTGGAGCACCACGGCGGGGCGTGATAACGGCTTCTGACGTCAGTCACGAGCTCCCAACGACATCATTTGCGGGAAGTGACGTTTTGTAACATACAATACAGGCTCGTAAGCTGACCCGCAGTGGGCTTGCATGACGAGGTGGCCGAATGGTTAAGGCGTTGGACTGCTAATCCAATGGGGTCTCCCCGCGTGAGTTCGAATCTCATCCTCGTCGAACGTTTTGGCAAGTTACTGCCGGTGTCGCTACATTGAGAAGGCCCCAGACCGAATCCCGAGGGAGAACATAAAACTTAGGGTAGGCTTTCGTCCTGGTGACCGTATGAGTCACGGCAGACTTCGTGACAAAACCATGGTGGCGAATTGCCAAACCAGACGGTAATTCGTTGCTGATGGAATGTTGTAACTTGTAACCCTGGTATGTTTAATGTTTATTGCCGAGATCTTTCCTTTGCTTGAACATGCCTCATTAGAGTATCAGCGCAATCACTGTGTCTTTGTTACAGACGAACATCGCGGCGGTTACGACTCCCGCGAGCCGCCCGGTGACGTTCGCGGAGGGAACTTCGGTCCCCGAGAGCCGCCCCGCGACATCCGCGAGGGCAACTTCGGGCCGCCGTCGCGCCACGAGCCGGGGCCCTACGGAGGTGAGCGTCTCACTGAGGTGTCCGCTGCCGCCACCCGGGCGTTAGCCGAGTCCCGGTGGACCGAGAGTGAACAGAGTCGCGCTGTCCTGGCTCGCACACGCGTTGCCAGTATCCTGATAAAATGCACCCTCGTAAAGGTGGAATGTGTGGAAATTGGGCAGACCGTGGCTCGTCGCTGCTGTGCCGTTTGAGGTTCTGTGCGGGGCCGGCTAATTGGCCCTGAGCAGGTCTGACGGCCCCGGTGTCGTTTTCAGTTTGGTGTCCGTGTCTGCTGTGTATCCGTGCCAGTGTGTGACGGGCCCGTGTGTCGCCAGGTCGCTCCTCTGATCGCCATGACGGCCCGCCCGGCCGCGGCATGGACAGGTAAGGCCGCCCGTCTCACTGGGACTGCACTGGCGGATAGTTATCGTCTAGCAGTAAATCAATGGCGTTTAGATTTGCCTCCGAGTGAGTCGGGACTGAAGGGTGTTTGCTCGATTTAGACGGGGAACTGTTGTATGATGGTGATCGATGGTCTGAGACTACGAGCAGTCCGCGTTGCTCTATTTATGCCCCTTTGCTCATATGTGACCGGGCACTGTTGTGTTTCGGCAGGGGACCCCGAAGAGACGGCCCACCAGGGTACCACGGCTACGACCGGGACGACCACCGGGGTCCGCCCAGGGGAGGCGGGCCCGGCGGTTACGACAGGGGTGGCCCTGGTGGTTACGATAAGGGTGGGCCGGGTGGTTACGATAGAGCTGGGCCGGGAGGCTACGACAGGGGTGGGCCGGGCGGTTACGATAGGGGTGGACCGGGAGGTTACGATAGGGGTGGACCGGGAGGTTACGATAGAGGGGGTCCAAGAGGAGGCCCTGGGGGCTATGACCGTGGAGGTCCCGGCGGGTATGACAGGGGCCGTGGCGGTTACGACAGGGGAGGCCCCAGCGGTTACGACAGGGGAGGCCCCGGCGGTTACGACAGAGGCCCCGGCGGTTACGATAGGGGTGGCCCCGGCGGTTACGATAGGGGAGGTCCCGGCGGCTATGATCGGGGTGGTCCTGGCGGCTATGATCGGGTTGGTCCTGGCAGCTATGATCGGGGTGGTCCTGGCGGCTATGATCGGGGTGGTCCTGGAGGGTATGATAGGGGCGGCCCCGGTGGCTTCGATCGGGGCCCGGGCGGTCGCTTCAGCGGCGCACCCCGGCCGGACGACAGGCACGGCCCCGGCCCGGACCGACCCAACTCGGGTGAGTTGTTGCATTTGATGCGATTCAGAACGACGATTCAATTCTTCAAATTTGAATCGTGTGCTGAATACACTTCATAATTTATTAACCTGAACATTATTTGATGCGATCGTAGTTACTCGATTTATCAGATTCAATTAACGACAGATCATTGTATGCGTGTTCTCTGAGCTACCGGTCTATTTAATAGGCCGAAGGCACACACTGTTTCGGCGCCCAGTCGGCCGGCTCAGCCCCCTGCCGGGCTGTCCCTCCGTGACCCGGTGTATCGTCCGTCCGCAGCGGTGCAGCGGCTGCCCGACGGCCGGCCGCGGCTCAACCTGAAGCCGCGCTCGGTGCCGGCGGCAGAGATCGGTAAGCCGGCGCCGGCGGCCGCCAACAGCAGCATCTTCGGCGGCGCCCGGCCCGTCGACACGGCCGCCAGGGAGCGCGAGATCGAGGAGCGGCTGCGGCGCGGCGAGCGCGGCGGCCGGCCGCGCGACCGGCTCAGCCCGCAGCGGCGGCCGCCCTCCGGCGACGACCGGCGGCCCGGCGGCCGGCAGGGCTCCGAAGACCGGCACGACGACCGCCGGCCGCCGGCGCGCCGCGGCTCGGGCGACGACCGAGGCCCCGGCCGCCAGCGGTCCGAGGACCGGCACGACGACCGGCGGCCCGTGGGTCGGCAGGGCTCCGAGGACAGACACGACAACCGGCGGCCCGTGAGTCGGCAGGTCTCAGCTGAGGACCGGCACGAGGAGCGCCGGCCGCCGCCGGGCCGTCAGTCCTCGGAGGACCGGCACGAGGAGCCGCGCCGCCGGGAGGAGCGCGGCCAGGACGGCGCCGGCGAGGAGGAGGAGCGCTCCTACAAGCAGCGCCGCGCAGAGGCCTACAGAGACATCCGCCTAGAGGGCGCGCCGTCGCACAAGAAGCCCGAGTCCAAAAAGACGCCGGCCGACCCGGCACCGGTGAGTGGACGCGGTTTGGCTCCGTGCTGTCGGGGGGGGGGGGAGGGGGGGGGGGGTGCGTCACCAGTTACCGACTAAGCGCGCTTGTGGTGATGGAGCCGGTCGCGCTTTTACTCCCTTGGACGTAGTGTGTATTGTGTTTCGGGCCGGAGGAGGAATATGGGGGGTACTTGTGTTTATATCTCCTGCAATGTTTTAGTTGAATATTTAATTGACCGGTGTCAAATTATATTTGGCTCTAAATCGCGCTCCTGCATTATCCGTCTGTCTCTGGCACCGACACTCTTTATTTGTCGCACGTCCTCCTGACCTGACGACTTTCCCCCTCCTCCTATCTGACCTTACCCGCCGGCCTTCCGCCGGGTCTGATCTGACTAATGTCTGTCAGTCGATCTGCCCTGACCCGTTGCCCCCGCCCACCTGGTCCGTACACCAGGTCTGGGTGCCCCACACGTCGACCTGAACTGACCCTTCGCTCCGTCTGCCGGCAGCCGTCTGACCGCCGAGACCAGGAGACCGAGCGGCCCGTCAACGGTACAGCTCTCCCAGAAATGTGAGATCAACCAACTTCTCTGTCTTTGTTAGTTTAGCCGCAAACTTTCAGGAATTAGGGTTTTTAATCACTCATGATATCCGTACAACCAAAATTTGAGTTATTGTCTCAGTTTAAATATGATGCTTAAAGTGGTTTGTCTTTGGGTTTCGAATCAATGAGAGGTTCTTACAACTTATACACCTGCACAGACTTCAACGTAAGTTGCATATTGCACAATCTTGCCTGATTTGTCAGTCGCTGCTGTGTCGATTGTGGAGTCCGACGAACTGTCCTGTGGAGTCTTGTGGAAGTTGATGATAATTTAGTCTCCGGGAGATCATGAGGAATCTGACGGAATGTCCTTGTTATGTAGTCTGACTGAATGTCCTGAGGTGTCTGACAGAGTGTAGTGTGAAATCTGACGGTATATCATATGTGCTGAGTGGTCAACATATCCCGTGACCTGACTGGGTTTGTTGTGTAGTCTGACGGTGTGTGTGTCTGTGTGCGGCAGGAGGCCGGCCCGGCTGCGGCCCGCCTCCGGAGGCGCCCCCGCCGGCGCGGGGGCCGGCCGACATTAGTGTGCGGCCGCCGCGGCCGGCCGGGCCTCCGGCCCGGGGCCGCCGACCTCCGGGCCCCGCCGGCCCGTCTGTGGGCCGCGCGGGGCCCGGGCCCACCGACCGACCGCGCCTGAGCGTCCGCCTGCCCTGCGCCCGACGCGTCCGTGTCCGCACCGCCGCCTGCGCCCGCGCCACCGCCGCCGTCCCGTGAGTGTGCGCACAGCCGCCGCCGCCCGCTCGGAGCCCGCCCTGCGGCAGCCAGCGTTAGAGGCAGCGGTTATTATACCTATACACGAGTCAGTGAATGGTGCGATGGTTCTGAACGGGAGCCGATGGAGGGTTTGGACCGCGGTCCATAGGCGGTGCCATGACAGCGCCGGTGGTCGACAGGCCGCCGCTGTTTGTTGTTTGTCTCCGGTGTAGCGGAGGGCGGCGGTGAGCTGTGCGCGGCCCTGCACCGCGCCACCGCCCACTCGGGCGGCCGTCAGGGCTCGAGGCGAGGCTGTGCCAGTCAGGGAGGCGGCCGCCAGTCGGTCGGCCGCACGGCCACCGCCCTTCTCTTCTCGTAGTCGGTAGTCGGGCATACTGCCATGCTGTGTAGTGGATTGTCTATACATATAGTCGCGCGCCCCATCGCTGTGTCATCGGTATATTTAGCTGCATCGCGATTGCTAATTATTAGACGTTTGTTGGGCGAGTTTTGCTCGTCGATAATGCATTATGTAATGCACGTTTTGTATTTCACATTTAATTTTGGAGAATACACATCCGTCTTAATGGGAAAACTACGTGTTATCTGTCGGAGTCTCTGACCTATGGGCAGATAGGACATATCTTGGCTGTTACCTACGTATACCGATATAAGTAGACCTACGCTACACTGAAAGATGGAAAGAAAATTGCTCTGATCTATTGACCAGCCAGTCAATGATGAGTGACTTTGACCTCGTAAATAGCGTTCTCGAAGTCCAAAGAGGATAGTAACGATTTTCCTGACAAACGAAACCTGAGCAAAACAATAATGTAGGCTGGCCGTGGTGGTGCTGAAGTACTGAAAGATGGTCTCGGTGCCTCCATTCTTCCATATTTGTGGAAAATTGTATCGATGGCTTGCGTTATTGAACCTCAACAAGAAATCACACAAATAGTTCATTACATAGGTGAATCATGACGATAGGTGTCCGCTCGTTGAGAAGACTTGGCAGCATCTCCTTCCGATGTCCGGTGATGGCGACGAGCTGTTCGGGTGGCCGAACAAGTTCCGACAGCGCCACCTGCGGCCATACCGCGTCACTAATGGTGCCGAGCCGCCCGCTTGGCAGCTGACTCGTATAGGGAACATTACCGTACTACTTTCACTAAAAACTACCCGGCTGCACGCTTTGTCCATCAAAGCCGCTGAGACAGTGTGAGTGCCGAGTGGTGATGGTAACTGGCAGTTTGATTTGGGCCACAAAGTCCCGGGGCCGCCGGTTTACTCTAGCAATGAGTTGTTTGCTTCAGTTGCATATTCACCGGTAGGGGTGGCGGCCGGATGTCCGCCGCCCACTCACGGGCCGGTCCCTCGGACCGACTGCAGACTCACCTGTCGTGACTCGGTGCCCGGCCGCGGCTGTGGGGCACGGTAGCCGACTCGCAGCGGCAGCCCAGTATTGATCCGGAACTGCAGTGGCGCCCACAAAAACGGCCGCCGCCCGAACGGAGCGCCCTTTTTGTGGCGGTGCTCTGCGCCGCCGGACGGCTCGCTCGGCTAAAACCGAGCTGTCCTCGGAGCGAGCGGCTCGGCGACTGAGCGGCACCCGCCCCGGCCACCGGAATAGTGCGCCGACGACGGGGGTGTCGACTTCATACGGAGGCTAGAGTCAGATACTGTTGAAAAGCAATTCAGTCGCTTTTTGTCATGCATTTGTCTGCACCGTTGAGCAGCGTCGACCTCCGTGTAGGCGCCGAGAGATGAAGATGCGAGATAAATAAGAAAAAAAATGTGTTGAACTACGCATTATCGGTAGCCAGAACTCAGAAGATAAAGGAAATCATGACTGATGCTGACCTGACATTGATCCCTAGCACTGCCAGGTGTGTTCCAAGGCACAGTGCCACCACGATTCTACTGACTCGGCCGTCTGTGGGTCCGCCGTCCTGTTCGGTCAGGTCAGGTCAGGTCAGGCGGCCGGTCGGACATAGTACACGGCCAGCCAGCTCCGCTGCTGCTGCTGCTGCTGCTGCTACTGCTGCTGGGTGCCGGCGGAGGCCGACGGCTCGAGGCGGGCCCGAGGACGCTTTTTGTGCGGGTCGTGTTTTTCTCGGGCGTCGTCTGTTTCAAGACGTCGCCGTCGCAGATGTCTCCGCTGCAACTTCCGACCTGATCTGCGTGCACGGGCCGGCGGAGCGGCGGCGGCTCCCCGATACCGGCCCATCCCAGCCAAGACGAGTCCGTGGCATTGGGCAGAGGCACGCTGCGGTGAAAGGCCTCGGTGACCTGTCGAATATTCAGTAGCTGCTGCTTTCCTCAGAACGCAGCTGCCCGTACTTGTCTACCTGCTTCAACAGTTGGCGATATACATATCGAATTCTCACGTCATCGTATGTCTACTTCGCCTTGATCTCTAGGCGTGTGAATAGGACAGTGCCCGTACAATCTACAAAGGACAATTGGATGCTCAGTTACCCACTGCACTGTATACCGTACCTATATAACTGCGCAAGCATATATTAATTTTGATCGCAACATTATGCGAGCTTGGTTCGGTCGCATGTAATTGTAATCACATGTGGTAATCGAACGATCCCGGGAAGTACCCCGTTCGAGGCTGGTGAGGGGAGCCCCTGGGGTCCGGCCTTGCACGCGCTGCAGTGCCGGCTGCCGGTCGGTCGGTCTGCACGGCCGTCGGGGTGAGGTGTATGACGGCGGGAGGAGCCGCCGGGCGGCCGTCCCCTGGCTCGGCGGCGGGCCGTTGAACCAGCAGCCACGCGCCGTCCCTCCCCTCTCCCCAGCCCTCCGACGACGGTGCCGACGCGCGTGGGGCGGCCGGTCACGTGACGGCCGTCGGCGCGGCGGTCAGGGGCCGGCCGAATCGATGGTCGGCCGCCGGCGGCAGGTCGGTTCGGCGGCCGCCGGTGACCGCAGTGGGCCACTGGCCCCGGACATCCCCGGCGCTCCAGACCCCGCCGAGACGGGGGCGTATGTCGGAGGGGGGGGGGGGGCGCACTAGCCACTCCGGCCCCGCTGCAGCGGCACGGTCCGGCCTTTGGGGGAACGGGGGGGGGGGCGGAGAGACAAAGAAAGGCGGGACCGAGCACCGGGATGACACGGACCTATACCTGACGCATAGTTCCGCGAGAGAGAAAATTCTGATCTACGTAAGTTGTATTTGTGTTGGATCATCTTAAAGGGACCCTCCCACCTTCAAAAAGTTTATGAATTGGCATGAAAGTGATGTCGCTCGGCTCAGAAAGAGCAAATGCGAATATCTACCAAATTTCACCGAAAAATATTCATCGGTTTTCAAGATATTAGACCTTTACTTTTGTTTACTTTTTGGGATCTCCGCTGTTCCTAGCGACTTTATTTGGAAGCAATAGTTTGGCAGCTGAAAGTGCGGCACTTATTGCGCGCAAAGCAGCATATACCACCGCGTGCTACAAAACGTTTTAGTCAAACATTTAAAAATCGTTAGATATCTGCGTTGACGTCACACATTCAGAGGGGTATTCCTATCCATTAGCCCCTCTGAATCAAAATGCTGCAATTTTGAAATTCAATATTTCCGATTTAACCTTCCAGGCGGTGGGGGGGCATTTTTTTGCCCCCCCCCCCCCCTTAGTTTTTTCGATATATCTCGAGAACCGCTGCGCCGATCGTCACCAAACTTTCAGTACCCTCCCGGGAGCAGCTAGCGCACATGGTGACCAAAAATTTTTCCAAAGGCTATGATAGGTTGGCCGCTAATGACGTCAGCGTGACGTCATTTTTGCCATTTTCGACCCAAAAAAAAGGTTTCGCGGGAAGAGCTGTCAGGCCTACAGCTTTAGAGATACAGAAAAATGTTTCAGACATAAAAGGTGTGGAATGAAAAGGGCTACAAAACTGCTATTTCGGTTTTTCGCTTTTTTGGATTTTGACCCCCCAAAATAAAAAATAGATTTTTTGAATATAATAGCCAAAAAATCCAAAAAGTTTTTTGAATTTCGAAAAAAAACGGAATATATGTGATAGCTCCTACCGCCTTCTGCATATTTACGTCTGGACAACGAGTTGCGTTGGAGAGGCCGGAAATAGTGGCGATTTCAGGACCGCAAGAATGGACCGTCATTGGAATGATTCTTCTTTAATCTGTGCACTGTTTTCGAGCGGAATTTGATAGTTACTACAAAATATTTTGTAATTACGTTTCCACCAAGAATGAATGCCATCAGGGCTAAATTTTTACTACTTTTGCATTTTGTCAAGAAGCATATAGTGCTGTTATATTGCAGTTTTAGCGCGTTTGTTACAAAATATGAAGCGAATAAGCGTCAGTGTAATTCATCAGTGCCAGAAGTTAACTTCAGGGAAACTCATGCTAATTGCTCTTGTCCATCCACTAGAAGTTATTAAATACTTTGCTTTGTGTATTCCAAAAGGAGAGGGAACTATTTTATTTGTGCCTTCATGTCAGAACTGAAGGTGGATCATTAAATTTTCAAGGAAGTTTACAAACAAGCATTTGGTCTTTCTCGTATATAAGCAGTGGAGTGGCTAAGAAGAAAAGGTTGATCAATCCTGAAGTTCAGTCATCGTACCTCAACTTGGCAGCAAGATCCCCAAGGACAGAGGATATATTGTATACCTGTCCTATAAATCAAAGCATTTTTGTGCCTGCAAAGGCTCAAGTTCTTTGTGGTGTGTTCGGAGTGAGGCTATATGGCCTTTTTGTTGTATGTTTATGTGGAGATTGAATATAACTGTGACCCTGTGCTTGTTTGTATACTTACTATGGTCAAACAGGGAACAGCACATTCACATAACATACTCACCTAGCACCTAACTCATAGCTGTACCAGCTGCAGGATCTGTACTTGTTCATGTCTCGAGCATTAACAAAGCACTAAAGTAGCTTAGTAATCATATCCCACATTTTCTGAGCATCTAACATGACATACAGCAGTGCAGAGCCTAGCTTCAGAGAAGAAACACTTTAAATGCACAGACTCACACCAGCCACCCAATGAGCCAGTTCCTCAGTTGACTGTTTCCCTGGATGCAGCTTGGCAAGGTGATCTAACTATTAGCAAGTTGAAGGTTAGCAGGTAAGATTGAGTTAGGGTGAGTACCTACCTATAACTGGGTGCTACTGCTATGCAGGTCTTAGCTAGGTTGCAAATATGTGTGATGATTGAGGTTAGGTCAGCTGTCAGGTTAGTGAGGTATGCACACTGCTCAGGTCACATTTTTATGGACACTTGGCAAATTAAAACCTAATCTAAGTTAGCCCAACTAAAACTACACAACTACTGACTATAGGAACGAAGCACCTACCTACTTGTGCGTACATCTCATACGGCCATGTCAAAGTAAAGTTCCTTGGTGGAAGATTACCCTCAGTACTATTTATCCCAGCCCTGTGGAGAAAACTAATACTTCTAAGTTCTGAGTCACTGCTGGCCATCCACAGAAAAAATCTGAGAGCTTTGCCATTGTATATTGGACCAACAATCACTAGGTATCACGAATGACTATGAACACATATGATCATATTGTTGCATGGATTGTCACATTGACAATTTTACTACAATCCTTTTTTTC